GGACGGTTACATTCAGAGGACAAACGCTTGGTTATTGATCAGCTGAATGAATGCAATACTGGGGAGTACACTTGTCGAGCAACCATGAGTAATCGGTTAAATGTACCAATTGACGCCAATGCTACCACAACCGTCGGATATTCGCGTACGCCAGCAGGTCGACCAGGTAATCTCCCGAATTCCTAAACTGCAATTTCGAAGCCGATTATCGATATCTTGCAGTCAGCATTCTTAAACTTTTCTTGAAGAAAATCGTTTTGTGCTTGCCCACAGTGAAGATGACTTTTTCGAAAGGGAAATTCCGGCATACACATTTAGTCGTTGCATTTCATTTTTTATAGCTTTAATGGTTGGGCTTTTTTGAGCCGGTTTCGTGCGCTAAGTTAGGAATCTGGAAGTTTCAGTCCGCCATAAGTGCCGGGCGCTTAATTAGGAGTCTGCAAGTTTCAGTCCATTATACGTGCCTGGTGTCTATATTTTTTAAACTCTCTAATTATAATTTAAAGTGTAATATCTGCGTTTGTGAAAACCCATTGGTGACAAAACCTAAATATGTTCAAAAGCTGACATGATCAAATTATATTCATTCTTGTTTTATTGTAAATATAAATCCACTTATTCAAAGTCCATCATTTTCTTAAGGCCATCCAGCAAAACCACCGAATTAGGTAACTTGTTCTATTCTTCAATCGCCCAGGGAAATGAGTGGGCCTGAGCTAAAAAGATGTTGGCGTAATTTACCTTCAATTCGTATTGGTGCGCTCAGCAATAGGTCGTAGGTGCTATTTCGAATAATCAGATATTCGCAGAGCACTGTTTACTTCCCTGTTATCAAGGCTTTTAGGGCATTTACCACCAGTGTTTGACACAAGCGGATAGGGACTAGCCATTGACTACGCCAAAATGATAGTATTTTGAGCCCTGAATTCGGAGGAAAGACAGTCAAAAATGACACCCATCAGTACCATAAACAAGCTACCTCATTCTGTTCGACCTTTGTGTATGAGGCTTTGGTATGGCTTATAAATCAGAAACCCTGAATACAGACTATCCGAATAACACGAGAAAGCATCGCTCCGTCTTCATTGGTATTGGCAGGAGGTTTTCGTTTTGCATTCCGAGTTCTACGGTAAAGCCCGCGATTTAAAGGTCTGTTCCAGTCATTAACGTAGTGTTCGGTTATTCATTTTCGTATATTAATTTGCCATTTGTTGAGGCGGTATGTGCTGCTTCTGGTATTTTATTTACATGGTGGTACTAGTGGATTAAAATCTCCACTGTTCAAGGGTAATATAAATTTAACATCACCATCTGAAATGACGATTTTTTATTTCACCACTGCTAACGCGATTGGTCTGTTGGACAGTTTCCAAAAATATTCTTATCCAGTTTCTGTCTAACAGGTTTGAAATGATTCCAAAAATTAGCGAACAAGGTAGTTTCTATTTGTAATCCACACTAATGTCAAACCCATCCCCCACATTGACTCATTGTCTGGATCAATTCATAGTAATAGGTGATGTTAACTATAAGGCGACGGCAACCACTAAGCCCTGTTACGCTGACCTAATGACGATCCATCCGAAGCGCGACTGTTTTAGGTGACTGATTGTGAATTTTGGGTTTAGAATATTTAAACAGGTTGTTTATTGCTATTTCTATTAATCATGTCTGCGTTGAATAAACGTCGACTGGATACGGTGGACTGTTTGAAGAGGCTAATTTACATCGATGTGGACCTTTTCAGAAGCTTTTTAACCACGAAAACATCCGTCTCCTAAAGGTAGGTTGGGAGGGTGGACGATAGCTAATCTTAGCATTGAGTTCAATATTTAACGAACTATGGCGTGGAGATATAGCACAAATTTAGTTGTTGATGCTGGGCCTCGCATGTTCGCTTGTATTGCTAATTATACCTGACTAGAATGGATTTCTGTCGCAATGCATTATTTCGTGCTGCTTCACAGGTGCCCTTTCACAGTTGGGGAGATAAGTGGCCAACACACCTGTCATAAATAAAGAGTCTGCTCAAAAGAGGAATGGAATAATTGCCCACATGGTATATCTCAATTCATAAATTGATTTCATCAAGGAATTGGAGGGATCATAATTGAGGATCAATAAGTAATGCAAACATTTGCAGACTTTACCTAAAATCCCAGAAATTGTGTACTCTTGTGCCTTGAAGTTCAACAGGACTTCTCGGTGCGCATCGAGCCGCTTACTGCAAACCCCGAGTACAGATCTCCCTACTATGCAGAATGTCACATTACTCCGCAGCCACCTCAGCCAGTCCGTTTCGCATGGTACTTTAAAGGACGGTTACATTCAGAGGACAAACGCTTGGTTATTGATCAGCTGAATGAATA